CAGGCCGCGGCCCCTCCCCCGCCAGCTGCGCTGCCGAGAGAGACTGCTCCTATCAGATAGGTGGCACGTCCTGCCCTTGTGGCTACCGGCATGCCGGGAGGCTGGTGTAGGAAGAAAAACAACCCCGGAGAAACCAGGGAGGCCTCTGTTCCGAGCAGGACAAGGCAGAGCGGGCTGCAGGGAGCTGCAGGCATGTGGCAGCAATGGACATGGGGCAGGTGCTCCGGCTTCATCCCACCTTGTGCTGCCTGGCACCAGTGTGAGCTGGATCTGCACGGCCCAGGGGGACCATCCCCATGGCCATGTCATGAGGAGCTTCAAGCACAGGGGCATTGGCAGGGGCCCGTTAGGTGTGCGGGAACAGGGCCACCACGGTGGGGTCCCGCAGGCATGTTCAACCTTGTGCCAATCCACCACCGCGTTCGACGTGAGCAGCTGGAAGGGTGTCTCAGCTTGCCGGGGTGCAGCACCGTGGCACAGCCCGGGGAGCACCAGCCAGGGCATGAGGAGCTACTTGCACATGTGTCCCCAATGCATGAAGGGCATGTTGGCCTCTCCTTGCCCTGCAGCTGAGGACAGCACCAGGGGCACTGAGGGGAGATGGGAACAGCCAGCACCAGTTTGTCACGGTCAAATTTTGTCACACTGGTTCCACTTCCTTCTCCATCTGGTTACTGGGCTTTGCTGTCAGGGAGGCAAAAAGCAGAAAGCCCCTGGTTTGAGCAGGGCTAATGACGCTGCCTCAGGTGCTTTTTCCATCTGGCAGTGGAAGCGGTGCGGAGGTGATGGCACATATCAAGCTGCCTGTGAGGGCCAGTCCCCATCACCATTTCAACAGGGATCTCAGCGGTGGGCCAGAGAGGCTGCTTACTAACAGCTGCAGTTGACACTAAAGAGCACCAGAGGCCAGAATGGGAAATCAAAATTATATTGACAGGGTTGATACCTTCTGGGGAAAAGAGACTCTTGCCTAGAAGAGCAAATACAAATATTCCTGCCTTCAGCTGGGATACCATACTCCAGAGGAGCAACCCTTGCTTCCTGCAGACGACAGCTGGATGGGCAGCTGGATGGCACACCTAGGGCTTAGCAAGCTGAAGCCAAGAGGCGAAGTCCACCTGCTGTCCATGTAACAAACAGGATGAGGAACCACAGCCTTGGGCAGGAGCTCCTGCAGGATGGTCAGTGCAGAGCCCAATAGGTCCTTGAGGGATCAGCACACAAGGGAGAATCATCCCAGCAGCACTCCAGCATTCCAGCCGGCTGGTCAGTCATGACGGTACTTTTGCAAGATGCGCGAAGTTTCCCAATGGCTCGGTGCAGTGCTGGACGGGTGCCGGCTGGCCAGGGTGGGAAGGGTGCGGAGCTGCACAGCTGGAGGAGTGGGCCCATCCCTGTGAAGAGCAGCCAACCAGGAGGAAGCTGCAGGAACAGTTTACAAGCATGTGAGAGGCAACTGTGCAGAGGAAAGACACAGTCTGTTCTCCGTATCCTTTGGAGACACAACAAAGTCTTGAATCGCAGTGGGGAAGTCCCAGCTGGATGCTAAGAAGATCCATCCCCATGGCATGATGAGAGCTAGGGCCTTGTCTGAGGGTGCTGGGGACCATCAGAGGACCCCAACGGGGACAGGATCCCAAAGAGTGCCCACTATCAGGGCCCCGTATCCTGTTCCCCTGTGCTGTCAGAGCTGGGTTCTCACCTCCCCTCCTCTGGATCCAGTTGCCTGTTGCACTGTGTTTATTATCCATAAGGCAAAGCTGGCACCTCTGAGGGGTTACTGCAGAGCTGGAGGCCATGCACAGCCAGCGCTATCTCTTTGCACCCTCTGGGTTGGCCCTGTCCCACGCCAGCAGTGATGCTCAAGTCCCTGCTGGCACCGCTTCAGTCCCAGAGCACACTGAGAGCTGCAGGGCAGCAGCTGCTGGGTCACTGCTTCCCCTCTCGCCCCGAAGCTTGGGCTCAGATGGCAGCAGCCTGGCTCCCGAGAGAGCCCCCCTCCTGCCCACTCTGCTGCAAACACCTTGCTGCTGCTTGTCCTTCGGGGCCATCCCAGCGTGTCCCCCAGCAGTGTGGGGCCATGTCAGTGGCCGGCAGCATGTCAGCGTGGCCAGCGCAAGCTGGGTGGGCAGCCAGGGAGGGGATAGCACAGTCCTGCTGCAGAGAAGGTGCTCTTGGGAAGGAGCACCGGCATTTGGCTGGTTGGCCCCAGAGGTGGGCAGCCAGCCCCTGGTCCTCACAGCACTGTCCCAGCAGGCTGGAGCCAGCGTTGCCCCTCTGTGCGGTGCCAGCACAGCCTCATGCCTCCTCGGCAGTGGCATCAATTCCCGCGTAGGTGAAGTTCTCAAATAGGGCCATGTTCACGTAGGCCTGTGGGAGAAAACCAGTCAGGAGCCAGTTGCGTCGATGTCCCCATCTTCTTGCCATCCCCACCGGCACTCTCACAGGTGCTGCGCCCTCAGGGGAGGCGTCGGGGCTCCCCACTCCCAAAAAGGGATGCCATGGTTACCCCCATGTGTGG